GTGAGGTGGATTTTAAAGGTGAGATAATGTAAATTGCTGATAGAGTTGTGTTTGTCCAGTAGAACAAGAAAAAGCAGGGCAGGATTTTGCTATAGGGACTTGTTAGTAGCTTTTGAGGAGGGTCTGCTCTCTTTCTCACACTGACATGTGATGAGATTTTTGGATCTGGTCCCGAGTGCAGAAGTTCCAAAGGTGGAATCACTGTCACATCCTACCTGTAGGCATCACTTTTCCTTATGAATGGAGTACATAATGACATCTACCACTGAAATATGCACTGGTCTTATGTATAAGGTATTGCTATAATTTAATCTGGTTTTGTCCACAGGTGGTGAGATCTATGTCTATTCAGCACCTATTTTTTTAAAGTTTGATGATAGCAGAAGCTGTAAAAATATTAGGTTTTTTATTAAAGTTCACATAAGAAAAACATGTGAAGGTGGAAATGCATTTTGCATAACATAATCTGAAGACAAGTATGTGACCAGAGTGCTTAAATAATACTGAAAGAGGTATTTTAGTGAGACTAGGAATGCTGGCAGGTTAATGTCATGTTTGATAGCCTGTGGTGCAAGTTCTGCATCACCATTATGTGCAGATACTATTTGTGGAAGCAGTATATATTAATCTCAAGAGATAAGGGTGAAAAACATTACTTGAAAGCAACACTCACTGAAGCAGCTGCCCACTATGATGATTAATGATTAGAAATACTGCTGATATTTCTAATGTGGAAAGATTGTTTCCTTCAGTAGAGGAAAGGATATTTACCATGGAGTGCTTCAGGTTATTCTGTTGTGGGGTCTGGATGTGGGCAGGTCCATCCAGAATCCTAATTAAATTAATTATTTGCTGTCAATGTGCACTTTCAGATTTACAATGAAGTGGAGAGGACTGAGGGAGCTTAACCTGGAGAAAAAGAGGCTCGGTGGGGACCTTCTCACTCTTTACAATCCCTTGACAGGAGGGTGGAGGCAGAGGGGGATCGGACTCTGCTCCTAGAGAACAGGGGACAAGATGAGAGGAAATGGCCTCAAGGAGTGGCAGGGGAGGCTTAAATTAGATAGCAGGAAAAATTCCTTCACAAAAGAGCTGTCCAGCCCTGGCACAGCTGCCCAGGGCAGGGGTAGAGTGGCCATCCCTGGAGGGATTTAAAAGCCATGTGGATATGGCACCTGGGGACATGGGTTAGTGGTGGCCTTGGCAGTGCTGGGGGAGTGGTTGGACCTGATGATCTTAGAGCCAACCTAAATGATTCTGTGACTCTATGATTCTATTTTGTAATGTTTCAAACCACACAGATTTATAGCCTAGGTATCTAAAAGTGCCTCCAAGGCAAGTCAGAGACAGGACCAATACTATGCCAGGGACTTTATAAGCAGAGTTAAAAACTGCTCCTAGCCCCAGAATAGGTGGGAAAAGTACATGGGGAGTAACAGAGTATATGCAGCACTACTAAATGGTTAGTGGAACCTGTTTGGAAGGATGTTGTCAAAGATGTTGTCAAAGATGTTGTCAGAGGTGTGATGGAATCCTTGTTACTTGCAAATCAGCGGCTGAGCATTGGCTCACAGCTCTACTCTGTGGACATCTTTAGCAGTGTAGACAGCAGGTGACACATGAGTTATCCATCAGTGGTGACATGAACCTTCAGAACCAGTCAGGTTGTGCATTCTGAAATATGCATGAATGAGTGGTCTGTGTACGTGGAATTGCTGCAGATGTCATGGTGGATCAGGTTTTTGTTTGGAGGGGTATTAGGAGGGGATTAGATGGGGAGAGAGAGGAGGGATGAGCAGCAGTAAACTGAACCATTAGGAGGAATTTGCAGTGGGAAAGTGCTGGGAACACCAGTGGCACCGTTAAAGTCCATTTATGCTACTTGGAGAACGTCTGTAGTGGCCTCACCAAATCCTATTCCATGGTCATCCCCTTTGCAGTTTCTGTCCCAAAATCCATGTGGCTTTGAAAGTTACAAGGACCAAAACCAGTGGTAGCGATGGACTTGGTTTTGCATGTTTCTGCTTCTACATTAATGCAGCTGGGGCGGTAAGTTTTTATTGGGATTTTCTGTAGAGCTTTTTGTCAAAGTTAGAAGACCAAAAAGTAACAATACTTACTTATCTTACTTTTTTTCATATTACATTTTTTCTGTTTTTCTCTGAGTTTTGTAAATCCCTGAAATTAACACCTTCTGAGCAATTTCACAGTCCTTGAGTAGTTTTCTCTTAAATGTCTTCAACTTCTGGTTAATGAAAAGATCTGCTCAGTGTCTGTCAGAACTAGAGATTTCTTTTGCTTTCACCTTTAATATTGACCAACTTTTCTTTAGTTTTGAATAGATTTGCTGGTACATATCTGATACCTTTACACTTATATAGTCTTCTGATATATAGGTGAATAGGTAAAAGTGGTGACTCTATAGTTTTAGTGAAAAAATCCAACTGCCTCAGGAAGGTCCAAGGACTTCCTGTATTATTCTTCAGCTCTGTCTTCAACCAAACTCTCTTGAGCTGATGCTAAAGCTGTTGAATCTGTCACCCACCTGGGTTCTGCTGTTACTCAAAACAAGTCCTGAGGTAAAACCTTGATGTAAAACCTTGGGGTAAAGCCAGGCATCCACATGGGAGGACTCTTAAGTCAGAGAACAGTGGGTTTTCCACTCCTTTCCCCTTCCACAAGAAAATGTCATAAATATTTTCTTCAAAATGAATCTGCAGGGTTAAGTCTTGGACAGTGAATGTTGCTTGAGGATTTTTGAATTATTTTTTGTTTGTATAAAGAACAATACATTATAAATGCTTTACGAAGAAGGAAACATATCCCATCTTTCTGAGTTGTTTGGTATTTAAGAATGAGATCAGAATGGAGTTAGTAGATTTCCAGTTTTATTTTGAAAAAAAAAATGCATTTTGCTGATTTATTTGAAGTCTTACACCTGAAAATACGCAATGAATCACCCTCCCAGAGTTAAGTTCACATGTGCATCTGTGTTCACCTGAGTTCTTTTCTTACATCACTGAAGATCTCCATTTACAGGTTTGAGGCATCAACATTAAGTACTGAGAATATGGATCAGAATGAATGTGTTGCTCATTCTCTGGAACAAGCTAATTACTACTTAAAAACTGATGAAATTCTGAGGACCGTAAAATTTTGCTGAAGTGATCTCTGGAGGCTTTAATTTTTCTCTTTCCTCATTTTATTCTTTTTGCAGCTAACTGGAAACTCTCTGTAGGCATCTCTCTCTTTTCCTTCTAGCTCACTGAAACTTCGTTTCCTTAATGTTACCTTGATAAAGACATTACTGCTTTAATATGTAATTTTCATTTTGACTTTCACTGCTGCAATTAAGTGACTAATTGAACAGTTTATAATGTGTATTCCTAACTGCTTCTGCAATAGGTTAACTGTGAAAGGCATAGAAAATTAACACACAAAATTTTGCCTGTGTTACCTTTTACTCAGAAAAGCCTCAGAGATTTTCTTTATTTTTCTCTTTATAGGCAGTGAAACTCCTGAAAATGCTTCACTGTGAAACTTTCTTTGATATTGAATCTTAGATGTCACCCACAGTTGTAATATGCCACGGTTTAAAAAATGCCCGTGAGCATAAGTGTAGTTAATACTTTTGAGGGTTGGGGTCTAACTGGTAGTAATAGATGTAAGGCTGCAGTTAAACATTTCCTTTCTTGCTCATCTTTCCAAAAATGTAGAGCAGCAATTTGGATTTTCTGGATTGTCTTCACTGAAAATAGAGCAAAACTAAGACTTGCCTTTAGAATACCTCCAATGGGTTTATCACAGAATAAATAGAAGTTTAATCTGCCTTTGCTATTTATAATAATACACGGGCTCTCAAACAGCTTTTGTGCCAAAAAAATAGTAAAGTACTGGTCACATGGAAAGATATTTCCGGCTGTTACTGGTCTCTGCACCGAGTGAAATGGAGAGCATAGTGTAAGATCAAATCTAACAGAAAGTTTTAAAAACGTAAACTTCTCATTTTAAAAATGTAAACTTTGTATATCTTCAGAGTTACCAGTTTCTAAAAGAAATTCAGGGTTTAATGTACCAATTTTATTGACATTAAAGTAGTGTAATCATAATTTTATCATACAGATTTTATTTGTGTTAAAGCTGCAGCAGAATGAAAAGAGAAAGAAGAGATAATGTGAATGTAGGGAGGAAGTTCCTTGTTTGTTTTTAAAACTATTTCTTCATAAGTAAATATTGCTGACCTGGGGGGGAAAAAAAAAAAAAGTTGTCTTTAAAAGATGTTTGGGGAAATGCTGCAGTTGGCATGTGTTTGTTTTCAGGTAGCAGTGACTGTAAATGTGCTTTCCATATACCTTCCCACCTTCCTGTCATCCCAGTGGTAAAAAAACCAAATAACTTATCTGAACAGTGTTCATTATTAGAGCCTGTACAGTACTGCTCTTACGAAGGAAGATTTGTTATTTTGATGTTTTTCTCCTCTCTGTTTAAACTACTCTCTTCCCCTGTTTCCCTTTTGTAAATCATACATACTTTCTGTAATTTGCATGATTGCAGGCCTATTTTTGGTCTAGTCCTGGTTCTTACTGTAAAATTCTTCCATACGGGAAAACCAACAAACAACTTTTTTTTTTTTTTTTTTTTTTAAATTCACTTTATTTCTTTATAAATTTTGTTTTGTTTCTTCCATGCTGAAGGGAGACCTTGATATTTAGTGACACAGCCTATTATTCTTCATCTTTCTAAAACTGAATGCTGACCCAAGGAGGTGTCTGCATTAGTCTGTATTACAATGGGCAAGGCTGTATTCTGCTGATCTTGTGTTCTACTGATCTTGCAGAATTTCATCAGTTTAAATGGCCACGTTTCACAGCCTAGGAGGCACTTCTCCTCTTATTGCACACAGATATTCTGTAAGCTTTGAGTTTATCAAAGTTACTCACACCCTATTTGATTTTTTTCCACCTCCACGAACTCCAAAGTGTGTTTTTTTTCCTACCCAGGATTTAACAACTCCGAGCGCACGTGTGACAAGGAGTTCATCATACGCAGAGCGGCCACGAACCGTGTCCTCAACGTCCTGCGACACTGGGTCTCTAAGCACTCACAGGTATTCTCCCCTTCAAACACATACTCTGGATTGATTTGTCACAGTAGCAGCTTGGCTGAGTTGATTTGACCGTGTTAAGCTTCTTGTGTTCTCATACAGATACTTATTTATTTATTTGTTGTGAGTGGAAAGAGTCACCAGTTCTTCACATTGGTCTCCTCTGTAAACCATGATGGGACTGTGGGTCTGATTTGTAAATATAAAATTGTTTGCAGAGGAGGGAAGGGAAGGAATCTGAGTGGTTGGTGGAATTTCATAGATCGAAACGTCCTTTAAGATGCCAGGTGGGAAAAATGTTGGAAGAATTTGGCATACGTGCAGAAGATACCAGGGAAATTGTTGAAAGAAACAAAGGAGGGAAGAAGACAAAGTGGGAGAGAAGGATGAAAGAGAAGGAAGGGAAGCAAGGAAGGAAAAGGCAGGGAGGGGGGGAGGGAGAGAGGAAAGAAGGGAAGCAAGGAAGGAAGGAAAAAGTGAGGGCACTTTGCAAGCAATATACCAACTGCCTTGTTAATACATGCTAATAATAAAGAATACTTCATCTCGAGAGCTAAATGTACCCATGTCAAACTGTCTGATGTGAAATCAATTCCCTTTTTCCCATGTAACGGGCTTAATTTTCATAGAGGTTGTTTCCTAGAGAATGAAGTAAGTAAGAGATGTGTAAGTGGGAAAATTGTTTGAAAAGCTGAACAGCCCAGAAGAGATTAATAAAACCTCTCTTGGTATCATGGGAGTGATTAAACATTTTGAGTTACTGGAAACAGCCTATGTACACCAAGTTTTGTTTGACTACCTATTAAATTAAAATTAAAATCAAAATCAGAATCAAGCCCATCTTGAGCTATAACAGGAGTGGCAGCAGTCTGTTATTACAATTCAGTGTTACTGTTCTGTACTCGCTGTGTTCCTGCCACAGTGCCCATTAAATAACTGCTGTGCTAAATAAAAGATGGTAAATTTATGTGATTGTGAAAATACTAGGAGTCATCAGACTTTAATCTACATTAAGCAACATTTACAACTAGTTTCACTGAAGTTTACATTTCAGAGTTGATCCTGATTGAGTTGTGATGATTCTCTTTTATAAGTAAAAAGTAACCTATGAAGAGTGCAAGCATACTCTACATTGTGGTAATTTACCAAAACTACACTTTCTCTCCTTAAAAATACAAGTGTTCTCTTTTTCTGTTTCAAAAGTACCCATGGTATGCAAAAATGTAACATTCTCCTGAATACTTTTGCACCTTTGTGTAACATTTACTAATACGATTCTTTTAGAAATATGAAGAGGACAAAGATAATGATTAATAGTTCAACACTGTCTGTTTTCAAAGGGGAGGCTATTACCTGGACTCCCTAGTCTCCCACTGGTTTTATTTTTTCCGTTATTCCAGTGTAGCAAATATTTAAAATATTTAAATAAATATTTTAAAAAATTAAAATTAAATATTTAAAAATTTTAAATATTTTAAAATGCAAGGGCTTTGGTGTGACAAATTAGAAATGCTGCAGCAACAGAATCTGTAATGAGTATTTTGTGTTGTTTACTTGCGAGACTAGTGAGAGAGAAAGGACAGTAGACCTAAGCAAACCAGAAAAGACTGTCTAGTTCATGCCAGAAAATTATGGGACAGGACTGCTTCAAGGAAGACAAGTGAAAAATTGCTGTGTGGCCAAAAAGTGTGAAATGTTGGCAGTAAAAATGGGTAGTCCTGGGAGAGCAGGAGCTCTGAGCTTATTTTACAATAACAACACAAACTGCAAACCAAAGAACCCTGAGTGACCAGTGTCCGCTGAAAAAATGCTTACTCAATTTCCAAAAGGACAAAGCAATATAAGCATTAAAATTTTTGAAGAGCAACAGACCTGCAAAAAACTTCCATACATTTTGAGGTATTTGCTTTGTTCTCTGGCTACTCATCAATCTGGTCTAGTGGAACTGCCATGACAGGAACAAAATGACTTTTAATGTCCCTTCCAACCCAAACCATTCCACAAGTCTATGATTCCATGACTACTACATTTGAATCACAGAATCATATAATCAGCTAGATTGGAAAGGACCTCTGAGATCATCAAGTCTAACCCTTGGTCCACTATCACCACAGTTACTAGACCATAGCACTAAGTGCCACATCCAGTCTCATCTTAAAAACCTCCAGGGACGGAGAAGCCACCACTTCCCTGGGCAGATTGTTCCAGTGCCTAATTACTCCCTCTGTAAAGAATTTCTTCCTAATATCTAACCTAAACCTCCCCTGGCAGAGCTTGAGATCATGCCCTATTGTCTTACTGACAGTTGCCTGGGAAAAGAGACCGAACCCCACCTGGTTACAACCTCCTTTCAGGGAATTGTAGAGAGTGATGAGGTCACCCCTGAGCCTCCTCTTCTCCAGACTAAACAACCCCAGCTCCCTCAGCCTCTCCTCACAGGACTTGTGCTCAAGTCCCTTCACCAGCCTCGTTGCTCTTCTCTGGACCCGCTCCAGCACCTCAATGTCCTTCCTGAACTGAGGGGCCCAGAGCTGAACACAATACTCAAGGTGTGGCCTCACCAGTGCTGAGTACAGGGGAAGGATCACTTCCCTGCTCCTGCTGGCCACACTGTTCCTGATCCAGGCCAGGATGCCATTGGCCTTCTTGGCCACCTGGGCACACTGCTGGCTCATGTTCAGCCTCCTGTCAATCCAAACTCCCAGGTCCCTTTCTGCCTGGCTGCTCTCCAGCCACTCTGTGCCCAGCCTGTAGTGATGCAGGGGGGTTTTGTGGCCAAAGTGCAGGACCCAGCACTTGGCCTTGTTGAACTTCATCCTGTTGGAATCAGCCAAACTCTCCAGTCTATCCAGGTCCCTCTGCAGAGCCCACCTACCTTCCAGCAGATCAACACTTCCCCCCAGCTTGGTGTCATCTGCAAGTTTACTAATGGTGGACTCAATCCCCTCATCCAGATCATCAACAAAGATGTTAAACAGGACTGGACCCAGCACTGGTCCCTGGGGACACCATCCTTGTGGTCATCACTGGCCTGCACCACTATGAAACGTGACCTACTACACAGTTATTTTCTGCCAAAATGCCACTTCCTTATCACTAGATGCAAAGAGAAGCAACGACAACAGACATGAGGAGTAGAGCTTGCTTTATTTCTCCTTTTTTGGGTGTGAGATGCTACTGCAGATGTGCTTAGTGTTGCTGTTTGAGAATAATTCTGCAGCACAACTGACTCTGTCTTGGTGCTCTCTGATTCACCAGTGACATGTACAAGTCTGCCTAAATTATTGTCCTGATCTGTTGTGCTCTGGTGCAACGTAAAGAGACTCATATGCAATCATCTGCTAAAGGGCTCTTACATATATCATCCCACTTCATTATTCCCTGCCCTCCATCCATCCCTCTGGAGCCCTTGTCTTGTTTCTGCTGCTGCTCTGTGTGTAATAGCAATGGGTCAGGGTGGTGCATGACCCCAGGGATGGAGGAATTGTGCAAACAAATGGTTCAGAGCCTTGTTTTTACTCACTTTGCTCTAGAAAATCTTTGGCCAGGGTTTGGAAGGTCTTTGCTGGGCTATGGAATCAATTACCTTCCTGTGCTCTTTTGTCACTGTGTCAAAATCAGCTTCATTTTTGTTTAAATTTATCTGAGCATTTAATATGTAAAATTGTCTGTGACCAGGAAACAGAATCATTAAAATTAACAAATCAGCCTATTCAGTGAGGATGTGCTTTCAAAAAGCAGTTTTGTTATCTTGAAATCATGCAAAGCAATGCTTAGAAAAAGAATTCATTATTTTTAAAACTTGGGTCATACACTGTAGAAGCCTCATTTAAATTTCAAGAAAATGTATGGTGGTAGTAGTGCCATATCTGCAACCCTTTCTGGAGGGCAGAAGGAATTAATTAATATCCCCATGAGCATGCAAGGCACTGATAAATATTTGGGGAAAAAAACATCCCCAGATGATGTGACACGTTCTTCTGTTTTTACACCCTGAGCAAGAGTAATCAAACCTGTGTTACTCCTCTGCCAGAATCAGCACGGCATGAAAGGTGGCTTTAGATATTCCAGATTGTTTTCTGTACATTTTTGTTCTTTTCATTGCATATCCCTCCTTTTTTTTTTTTTTTTTCATTCAGCCACCTGCAAGCCAACAAACCTTTATTTTTGCCCAAAATAACAGGAGAGTGTTCCTGTTTACATTTTGGTTTTGAAATGTAATTGAGAGGAACAGCGTAGGATTCTCCTGTTGTAAACAATGAAAACACAAGTGACAAGGCAGAGAATCATTGTGAAGACAGTGTTGATGGGGACAGAAAGGGCTCATGAGGATAGAACTCTCACTGGCTCCTGCGGAGGTGGAAATTTGGAAGGCAAAAGGAGGCCAAGGGGAGAAAGTCTCAGTATGACTTTCATTATCCCAGTGAGGTCTAGCAGCCTTGTTTCCCTTAGAAGCACAGCTGGAATGAGCTGGCAAATCTTAGTTCTGTCACAACCTCTCTGGGTGCCAGACAGTGACAGCGAGCTACGGAGTGACCACAAGACCTGGGAGGAGGACCATGGCTTGAATTTTGAGAGTGTAGGTCATGATCTTGTGCCCGATGCTTGCCTGGCTCCAGCTATGGATTACCTACTACAGGTCATTCTCTTGGTCATACCAGCAAAGCTGTGGTGAGTTTTCAACAGAAGGATTTGCAGAGGTAGTTATTGATAGCACTTAGGGATTAGGAAGAACACCTGTGTACAGACAATTGTCCAAGCAAAGATAATTTTGATTAGGTAGAAATAGTTTTAGTGCACATCAGTTGGCCAATTCTATTTTTTATTCCATTTCATTGGAATAAAAAAAAAGTAGATACAAAATCCTCTATACGAGCCCCACTTATCTCATGTTTATGGATGTAAAATGATGAATAAGATAATACAGCAGATTTACAGTAAGTTTTTTATAGAAATGTGAACAAATTGCACTTGCACCACACTTAGCAAGATGGGCTGTATTTTAACTACATTTCAAATGAATGCTCCCTAGGATCTGTGACCCCTGCCTTGAAACAGCAAAGAAATTTCTGGGGTTCTGTCTGAAACAGACAGACATCATGATACAAACTATGAAGAGTCAGAGGGGTTGCACCACAGAGAGGCAGAGCAGGGGAACCTGGAGTGAGCCTCCCAGCTCTTGGCCAGGAAATCTAGTTTGTCTGAACTTGTGCAGTGAATAATAATACACTTAATTGCTGCTGTGCTCTGTCAAAATGTTGCAGGAGCATAAGGGTTTGCTATACCACGACCCTTCAGGGAACGTGAGTCACCCCCAGAACCAGGAGCCGAGCCTGCAGTCAGTCAAACTAATTAACAGTTCTCTGCACCCACTTCTGCTGGAGCCTGACAGGTCCCTCCCCACTGAGGTCCTTCAGGAATGTGCTGCATCCCAGGACTCAGAGGCAGGGATGTCACATTTCCTATCTGTCCTGAGTGCTTTAATCTGACCATACATGGTGGCTGGACTCTCCTCTCAAGGCTTCTTGTGTATTTCATCATTACACAGTGCCTGGATGAGGAGAGCTCTGTGTTGTATGTGCTGGGAGTTAGTCGTTCTGTTCATGTACCTTGTACTTTTAACCTGATTATACTCCATCAGGAGTGACAGGCAAACACTGATCCGGTAGAACCAGGACTGACATTCTTCCCCATTCTCCCCATTCTTTCCACTTGAAACTAACTGGAAGACAATGCTGTTGTCCTTCTCTTGTTGCTTGAAGTAAGCCAGGCTTACTTCAAGCTCAGGGATGAATTTTCCTGATAACCAGTTGTAATAATTTTTATTTCTGCCTTTCACCAGTGTAAATGTTTTGTTGCAGGTGAATTTAGGAAGATTTTCCTCAGCACAGTTGTGTGTACTAATAGCTGAAGTGTGGGTTTGCGTTGCAAAATTAAATAGAGTTGTAGAGGACTGCAGCAGTGGAGCAACTTCACTTTACTTTGATAGTGTTTGATCTGCTGTGTACAAGATTAGGAGTCACTAGAGTGATGCCATTGAAACAATTATCTGGTTACTCTGGCATGAGAGCAGATACCACTCTGTTTAGATGGAGAATGTTGCCTCCCACTTAGAAAGATTTAAAGAAAGAGGGGAGGAAATGCTTTTGGGATTTCACTGAGTTTATGTCAAATCTTGAATATACATACTCTGAACGAACCACCGATAGTAAGTCTACTGTTTCTAGTTAAAAAAGGACACTTTAGCATGGCTACAGTGTGGGGTTTTTTGTTGCTTTCTGCTTCCTCTGCTGCAATCTCTTTTCTTCTGGCCAGCGATTACAAATCCTTGTGCCCTTTCATGAAGGACTAGACCATCGTCAAGTTGAAATGTACCTGCTGGACACTTGAGTGGTTGACTGACTGTATGCCTTTTGCGATGCATGAATTGCAACTAAAAGTCACAAAAGTGGTCTAAAATTATATGTATAGGTATGATACACATGAGTACCATCTATCTACACCTATATATAGCTACCTATGTGTCCTATACTATAAACAGATATATATGTAATATATTAGTATATATTCATATATAGCACCTGTAATACATAGATATAATCTGCATGTATTTAGAATTATTTATTTATAAATTATACTTTGTTGCTAAGTATTTTGGTGTTTGTATAATTCTTAAGTTAACCTTCCTACATATGTTAAGTACATGTACTAGGGCAGTGATTTCCCTAGATTTTTTCATATATTGCTCATCACACTGGAATCTCTGTATGCCTTAGATAATGAACTTCAACAGAAAAAGAATTCTCTCTCTGGTTTTCTTCTGAATCTCACTTTTTTCCATATATTTTTTTCTTATCACATTATTAGAAGCAGATGGCACATTACTTTAAAGAAAGAATACCAACAATGTGAGTTTCCCAGTGATTCCAGGACTGCTTTCTTGTGGAGAGTAAAACAAGTTTTAGTATTAATGAGCAGTGTATTAATTTTCGTTACTCTAAGAATGACCTTATAAACATGCAAAACCTGGAAATGCTTTGGTTTTGCTGAATTTTGATAATCATAGGTGAGGCTTCCCCATCCTATTTGCAAATGAAATAACTTCTAAAGTTCTACACTTTTTTGGTCATAAATTTGGTAGCAATAAACATCTCAAGACATCTTGAGAGAAAATATCTTACAGTGAAAATAATCAACCAGTTGCAGTTTGAAAACCATACTTGGAGATCAAATCCTAATCACATTGATGTGATTTGCATGAGAATTTTACCCAACAGTGCTAAATTGGGGTGCTAGATTTGTCAGGTGTTGGACACCTTTTCTGTTTATTTAGTATATTTTTGTAGCCCATCTAGCAAAGATATCCAACTTCTTTTACACAGTGCCTGCCATTGACCTATAGGGCAGACATTACTAATATTAATCACACTGGTGGCTCAAGCTTATGCAGGCTTAAGGTTTCTCCTTTATCTAAATTCTGATAGTTCCATTTTTCAAATGGTTTTCTTCTTGAAATCACTGGAGTGAACAGCAGTGTCATTCCTCATGTTTTCAATAATTAGTCACATTTCCATACCCTAAATATTCTCTTGTCTTCTCTTGCAAACAGGCTAAGGCAGCTCCTAAGGGAGGCATTTCAGACAGTGGCTGCATTTCAGATAGTGGCTATAGAAAATTAAGAAATTAATTTAGAAAACAAACACAGTGCAGTACCCAGAAATAATTTTTGCTTGGCTTTGAGCTGTACGTCTGATACCCCATCCAAAGCCTAACACTGCATGCAGGCTTCCCAATCTTCAACATCCTTGACTTAGGGACAAACATTTAAAAAAAAAAAAAAAAAGGAAAAAGAAAAAAAAAAGAAGAGAGAGACTCGGATACTAGTATGTTTCAAGATATTTGAGTAGTGAAAAGGGGATGCTGTGACAGAAGAGAAATGCCCAAGGCAGCTAATTTCTGAGTGCTGACATTTGAGCAGTAACTATTCCCAAAAAGTGTTGTAAGGGAGGCTGTGGCACTTCCTCCTACTTGCCCTAAGTGTTTCAGCCCTTTTACATATTAAGCATCACTAGTCTATGTGACTTTGGAAGAGTTCTGAGGCTCTCACATTCCCTCAAGTGAAACCCAGGGTGTGTCTTCACCGGGGGTGGTTCTGGTTCTTCCCAGAGTCAAACATCTCCAGAAATCCTGTCAGTTAGGAGCCTCTCACAACAGGACGGGCTGTGCAAATTATTTGAAAATGCAAGACAACGCTCTTGCACCGAGGTGCCAAATATTTCCCATTTTCAGTAACTTTGTGCCTTCCGTTCCCATGGAAACAAGCTGGCGCTCGCCACAAACATGGTCTTGCTTGCAAGTGACTGTGGATTATAAAGGAAGATCTGTGATGTACTAGGCAACTGAAGGTTTTGAGCTCAGTTTTCTTATCAAAAGGCTAGCTTTGAGCTAAATAGAAGAATTCCCAGAGTCTACTCCAACACTTGCGAGTTCCCACCTTAATGCTTATGTATTCTATTGCAACAGAACATCTCATACTCTGTTCTCTGATTTTCTCCAAATTCAGAGATTAACATAAATAGCTGTTGCATGTTCCTGTTCTTGCATTGCAGTCCTGTGTCAGGTTGCAGTCTGCCTTGGAGGGAATGAAAATGCTGAAGCTTTCAGGTGCAGTGCCAGAGAGCACGAGCCTGGTTTAATGAGCTTGTTAGTTTGGGTATTCCACTAAAAGTAGACCTTTCCAGAAGGGTGAATATGAGATAAGAAATACCAGAGTGGGAGGCAGTTAAGCAGAGAAACTCAAGAAAACAAAGAAGGGAATCCCAGTGTCCTGCCTTACTAGGCAGTGGTCCCAGAACTGCAGTTAGTTTTTCTGCTTTTAGAGTCATCACAGGAGAAGAGAGAGGATTTTGGGGGCACTGTTGAATTTCTTTGGAAAAGAAAGGCTAACTGATTTTCCCACTTCCACACAGAAGATAAAGATCAGAAAGGAGATGAATCACAGCCTTTTGGACATCCTAATTTTGTGGCCTGTTCACTACAACAGCTTTCCAGGTTTCTTTAAGTATTCTCAAACCTAATAGCAATCAACATTATGAAGGCAAAAGGAAATAAAACTGGCTTCCTTTTTAGGATTTTGATCTGAACAACGAGCTGAAAATGAACGTGTTCAATTTGCTGGAGGAAGTTTTGAGAGACCCTGACCTTCTTCCACAAGAAAGGAAAGCTACTGCAAATATACTGAGGTAAATGCATTTCTAGTAATTTCACAACTGTAGCACGTGACATAGGGCACTGTGTATCAAAGAATTCACAGGGTCTGGGTTTTCTCCAGAGTATCTAATTTTGAGGATTACTAAGCATTTTATGAGGCATAAAATTGTGTTTTAAGTTTCATTCATAAAAATATCTGTATTAGAAAATTTTACTGCAGAACATCAACCACGAGTTCAGTCTTTGTGTATCAGCGAAAATAACTCCTGCAAAGTGGGAATATTTTATAGCCACTGTCTCAGTTTACCAAGACAAAATTGTTTGCTAAGGAGGGTGAGATATGAGGAAAACCAAGCTCCTCCCTCTAAGCAATTGTAACTCCGAAATTAAGAGGCTCCAGTGGAAAAGGTGTGGTAAAGAAAAATAACAGCTCTTTACTAAATAATGTATGTGTGTAGGTAACACAGCACAGGAAAACAAACAACGGCCCCGACCCCAAACTCCCACCAAAACAGTCCAGCCCTTCCCGCCTCCCGGCGCAGCTCCGACCGCGGCCAGCAGGGGGCGCCGTTGGGCTCTGTGGGGCCGGGTGAGGGCGCGGCCGGACGGGCCCCTCGGAGCGGGAGAGGAGAAGGACGGGGCTGATTCCCCGGGGCACTCCCGCTGTCCGAGGCTCTGGCTGGAACTCGCCTTCCTCCTCAGCGGCTGTAACCTGCCACCGGCACGGAGAAGGAGGAGTTGGGTGGGGGAACAACAGCCTTTACCCTCGAAGGTTCCTCTGCAGATTGGTACCGGCTTCTCCGAGGCGGGCCCGGGCCGTGGGCAGAGCAGGGCGTGAGGGATCAGAGGCGAACCGGGGCTGAAAGCAGCTGGGTGACTTGGCCAAAAGCAAGATGACCCTGCAGCTCTTCTCACACACCCTCCCTGAGTCAGGGCAAAATTGCAGGGCCGTCATCAGAAGAACAAAACAAGAACTCCCTTCCCCCTACAGTCTCCTGAAGCCATCAGCTTGGAATATGGGGCTATTAGCCAGTCCTTTTGTGTATGTGCTCACTCTGGGCATCTCCTCCTCTTCGCTTGCTCAACACCTTTCTTTAACAGTGGTAAAGGGAAAAAATTCCAAGCCGTTATTTTCTTTTTTTTTCCTTTAAAACAAGGAAACCTATGACACACTGGTTTTCATGTGAATTACATTACTGAGGAGCAGGAGACACTTAAAGGCTAAGCCATGATTAAATAAATAAATCACTTTAAACATTTAAGGACTAAGAAGTGATTAAAATAAAATATGATGAAAAACACAGATGAATTCAAGATGTGCTTTGTTTTAACAATATTGTGAGTATTCTGAAGGCTAGCCAGTAGCAATGCAATAAATGTAGTGTTGTCTGAATTTCCTAAGGGCACTGGACAGGTTTCCCCATCAGATATATGAAAAAACAAAATGACTGAAAAGTTGTTCACTTGTGAAGTGTGTGTGTGGGGAATGTCAAACAAATAAAAAGAAACAATTATAAATTCTTGTTAAAAGCACCTTTATTTTTACATAAATAAAAATAAATCTCCCTTTTAATACTACTACATGTGTTGCTCTTCCAAGTAAGAGTATTAAGTTCGTTTCATGTATTTATTTGGAAGAAACAGCAAGCCAGAGAGCAAAAAAGTATGAGGATAATGGATTTTAATAATATGTATGACAACATAGGTTCTGTCAGGTTGCTCACAGTGGGGAAAATTACCTTAAGACTTCCAGCTTCTTAAGAAAATGTCAGAAAATAAGCCTGGATTGGCTATTCCTGGCAGTAATGGGATATATTTATAGGACTTTACCATACAAGTTTGCCAGCAATTTTCTGTATCCCATTTTAAATTAGCCAATTTCCATTAGTTGTTGCATCAAAAAATGGACCGTGCTATTTATGTGTTAATTATGAGTCTTTTTACTGCTGTGCTGTGAAATGGGAGGTGGTGTTTCTCCTCTCTTCTCTTCTAGCACGTATTACTGAGTATCTGAGCACACTATATACTAGTGAATACAATTTGTCAGATATTTCTATTTTTCAGACTTTTTTGTCAGACTTGAAATTCTGTGAATTTTCACTCTGTATTTCTCTTGAAAAAAATTAAATGCTGTAAGAAGTGAAAATTCTGAAAAAGTTAAATTTTTAAAAGCTGACAAATGGCGAAAAGAAAAGGCTTTTTTTTCTTTAGCTTTTGCTAACATTGGTTGTCAAAGCTCCTTTATTGCTTTTCAAGGCTGGCAGTGGTGCTAAACATATATGGATGCTGGACAATCTGATGTCAAAAATTTCAATACTATTTTAATTTGAATTAAATTTCAATATGTTTTCACACCCCCTCACTGGAAGGAGGAGCTTTGGTGTTTGGATCACCTCAGGGGAATGGGTTGTCTGTTAATTAAGAGTGACTTCCACAGTTTAGGAAAGCACTGGAGATACTACACTCTCAGCAATGCTATATAGTTAAATGAGAAGAGGGAATTATAGGATATAAGGGATAATATGAATGCTGTTTGTGTGTAACTATAAATCTGTGGCAGTGACACAGGAGTGCCCATTCATTTACTCTTCTGCATTTGTTATTTTTTCATTTATTAAATCTATTTATGTTATTTATTAATTTTTATTGCACATTATTAAAATAGGAATATATATAAGCTTTAAAAGAAACTGAATGACTTGCTAGTCTAAGCAGTGACCTGCTGTCCTGTGGAGCCTGAACACACAGTTCTGGAACCATCTCAGGTATTGGGCTATCAAGGGGGGGTCCCTCTGGTTCTCCAGCTCCTCAGCTGGTCAGTGGATTCAGACACAAAACCAGCTGTTCTTTGAAAACTTAACTTTGCAATAATCCAGAATATAAAATGGAGGAATAGTGTCTGTCAGGGTGTTTAGTTTTTCTAGCAGGTTGAAAGGATCCTTGTACAATTCTGGAACTGATTTCATGAGGAATTGAGAAACAAACAAAAGCAGAAGAGACAACATCCACATGCCTCCATTCTGTCTGACTATGATTTATGAACCAGGTTTCTAGTGCCTGAACAGCAAAGTTGCTTCTATACTTCCACTAAAAACAAAAGTACTGCATCTAGTGCTAAAAGAGTACCTGATGATCCAGGGATTGTTATTTTGCTGATGTTCTGCCAGCATGGTGCCATCGCTGGTTGTGTGCAAGCCAAACACTGAACGTGCTCTTCCCAAAACTGGGAGAGTTCTCTGTATTGCTTGTCTCTAAAGATCACTATTTGTCAAAGTAGGGACAACCAAGACCATGTTCCTCTTGACAGAGAACTGCTTATCTTCAAGCCAGCATTCCGCTGATACATCAGGAAGAGGCTCCACATTCTCTTGGAGCATTTTTTACTTTTTCCTGCATCAGATGGGGAATTTCTATCACTTGCCACTATGTCAATGTTCTGAATGTTGAGAGAATGCCTGTTACAGAATAAAATTACTTGTTGAGTTCCTTCAGATATCCATAGGTTATAATCACCATAGGGTGAAGGGTCTGCACTGTCTTGGAAGAAACTCTGTGGTGGGACCCACTGTGTGTACCTGAAGAACGAAATCACAAAACAAGCTGCAGGTAGGGAATGAAACACTCCTTCCACAGTCACTACCTATCATGGGGGAGATCCTCTTCACCAAAATTGTCTGAATTTAGGCATCCTGGCTGCTCCTCCAGAGATCGAGATCGTTCCTTCCCCAGTTGCCGAACACAAGCAGTGGGAGGTTGTGAATGCCACCCTGGACGCCCTAAAGATACCTAGAGCCTGTATTCTTGTAGAGATGTGGAAGTGTTTTCAAGTACTGTGTCCTTCTCTTGGTTCACTATCAACATCTGGTTTGGAGAAATGCTGCTCAGTCCATCACTGCCACACACTCACCTCCTTGGAAAGATGTCAACTTTTTGATTTTCTTTTAAATTGAGACTTTTCACCTAATACTACTTAGAGGAGAAATATAAATTACCCACCTGGAATTGAAGGGCTTTTTTACTGCTGTTAGAAATTGATTTTTTGAAGATTTTTGACAGCATCCTTTTTATATGAAAGCACAAATATGTCAAAACTAGAAGTTTTGATGAAACTTTCATTCAGAAGGGTTCTCTGGGACAGGATGAAAATGGGAAGAAGGAGTGAGCCAGTTGACGTGCCCCTCATGAAAACAGTCATTCACCCGTTTGCTAGATGAGTGTCATAAAACAGGCTTTTTTTGTTGCTCTGAAGAGGTGCTTTCTTCAGGCATTTTATCTAAAAGGCCATAGCGTATCAAAACATGTATTCTATCAGAATTCTGGGTTGCCTGTCAGTGGTCACTGTAGGCCTTGGGTTACCCACATTTCAGTTTTTGTAGTATACTCTCAACTCTGAAAAGCAGAGGAATGCAGGATGAGGCTAGGACAAGCATTTCTTACCCTAAATTCAATGTTTGAACATTCATGAAAAAAAGTTCATGCTTTCCAAGCCTAAAGATTGGTATTTTCTGATTGGTATTTCCTTGAAGGGTATTGCATAAAAATAGGTCTCTTTACAAACTACCCCAGCCTTTGAGTGCATGTACACATATTAATGTGCATTAATATTTCTTGGAAAATCAGTCCCTTTGTCAGCAGAGATTAAAGGAGGAGGAAAGGATGGTTTGTATTCCCAAGATATCATGGCCAGCTCTGGTAGAGGCTCTGTTTAGAATATGAATGGCAAGGAAAATGTTGATGAGAGATACTCAGCTGCTTCATGCCTTGAGTCATCAAACAAAGCAGCTGGTATTTCTTGCATGATGGGATTTTTGTTGTGTGGACTGACAGGGTTTCTCTTCAGGGTAAAAAAGCTTTTTTTTTAAATCAGTATCTGTTCTGAAACCTATCAATGTATGTTTTGCTTGAGATTTTATGAGCCCTGTTTACTAACCCTTGAAATCTAGATAAAATGATAATGAAGCAGGGAGTTGTAACGTTCAAACTGAGCAGCAATGAATATTTCTGATAAATGGTCTTCTCTGGAGAAAACCATGGTGGTTCAAGAAACACTTTTTCCTTCCTCAGCTAAACATAAATGAAAGCCGAGGATATGCAGGTGTCAAAATTTCTTGGATGAACAATTTTTCAGCCATGTATGATCTCACCAAACACATTTCAGGCTCTACAACTTAGAGTAGTTTTTAAATATTTTCAGAGTGCTTTATGTACCAGTAAGGAGACCCAAGTTAATATTTTCAGCTAGAAAATTAATTTAGTATTCAGACTGGTCAGGCATGAAGAGTAGTGTTTGTGAGAGAGATCTAATCTTAGCTGCTGACTCTAAGAATTGGAAAGATATTTCTTATTGATCTGCTTTCTTCATTTGTGAGGTTACTGATGGAGGTGTCACCCCATTCAGTCCTCCCAGAGAGTGATTCTGTCCAGCAGAGTCTCTCTGTGCCTTTGCTTTCTCCCATGATCTTCTTCACACCGATCTGTGCTTCTCAGCTTCCAGGAGCTCTCCAAGGAGTACAAAGGGAGCTGCGCAAGCAGGACTGAGGAGCCCGAAACGTCTTCCCAGACCCCTGTTGAGCTGGGAATCCCAAAGCTGACAACAGTACAGACTGGAATGAGAGCTGCTATTGATGCTGTCAAAAAAATAGCGTTATCCAGTGGAGAGATTTGTTATCCTCCAATTTAAACGTAGAGCATTTACAGATAAAAGGAACGTTGATTGTTTGTTTGGGTTTGTTTTGTTGTTCTTTTGGGTTTTTTTATGAGACCACTGTGTTAGAGAAAAAGTGTCTGTTTAGAAAGAGGAATTGAAAGTTTACATAAAACATGAGACGTCATGATGGGCATTATCAGGCAGCAAGGATATGGAAAGGTTAACTATTTTCCTCCTTTTAAGACCCTCATGTTTCATATTTTATTTCATATTAGGCAAACACAATAATTTCTGTATCAAAGGCAGGCCAGTATAAAGTTACATGTAAGTAACTCAGATGAAGAATTTACGACATTGATAAAAATACTTCGGGCAGAGGGAAGGCAGAGGGATAAGCCCTGTCTGTTTTTTATTGCCAGTAGGCACATGCTTGTGTCATAGGTTAAACAATACCTTTGTGCAGGCAATCAGCCATGAGGTACAGCGCAAAATAAGCTGCTCAGGAAGGACAGATTGCTAGTCTATTTACAGTCACTGGGGCTGCACATCGTTATTATCTGGAGAAGAAACTTAGGGTTCTCCTGAAGAGGTAAAATGTTCAAGACATTGAACATCTCGCCCAAACAAGGTGTTTCCAGCCTTTATGAATAGAAAAAGGGCATTTTTGTGGATTTGGTAGGCTGAAAATGAGGGAAGGAGGTTTCTTAGATTCTGTGTTTATCTGCCTTTTTGATTTTAGCTAAGCCTTCCAATTTGGCAAACCAAGAGGAAGGAGCAACAGCCCACAACAGAGGAACCCGGTGTACTGAGCATTAATGCTTCTTCCCCACCCACATCGTACAAATTCCGAGCCTCACACTCATACTGAAGTCTCCAGGGAATGGGATCCTTTTCCTTTAACCCTTTCCCTGGCTGGTACGTGGAAAGTCTTTTAATACAGAGTGCAAAAATGAAGAATTGGAGGGACCATGGGAAAATACCAGATCCTGTTGCTGTGCCTTCTGGAATCACTGGTAGAACTGCATTTTCTTTGAAAGTGCTCATCTAAACTTTTCTTGGAAATTCAGCTGATGAGGACCCTCTGCAGAAAGCCTGACCCAGGGCTCACTTGTACTTGCACCTTCAATTTGATGTTGAAACTAAACCTCCCCTGATGCAAATCATCCCAGTGACTTCTTGCCACGTTGTTGATGTCTTTTTAAGCAACTTTTTACATACTACTTACATTCTTTCTTCCTAAGTCTTCTCCTTCATATATTACATTAATCCAGTCTATTCAAGGTTTCTCTGAGACTGTATTTTCCAAATGAAGGGGCAGGAGCTTATAATTATGTGCCAGTATGCTGCATCCAGGTAGATGGCATTTGATGGACACTTTTTACTTTGGGGTTAATTTTTGACCCATTACTCTGAAATAACCATAATAATCATGATTTTTCTGGAGCAGAAGTGGAAGCACTAATTAACACTTGTATTACCAAAAGCAAATTATGTCTTTGCTACAGGTAAAACCTGCAGTTTGTTGTTCATTTCCACACTCTCAGCTCCTCGTGTGGGACACTGAACAGGACGGTGTTGTGCCAATAAACAAGAGCACTCTTATGCCTACCTATTTTTCTGTCTTCACTTTTCATATGTTGATTTTTCAGGTATATCCCAAAAAATACCATTTTAGTTTGAAATCAGAGAAAAGGCTTGTGGTGTAATTTTCCACCTTTAGATTTCCTAGGATTATTCAGGATTCATTAGCTCAGAGATCTTAAACCTACATGGAAATATTTTGCTTTACATGTGTCTGATGATGTAATGGTACCCATTTTTACTTAAAAGAAACAGGAGCTTTTAGGTACTGGATAAATTTTTTTCTTTACCTCTTCTGCAGTCTTAGGATTTAGTTTAGATAAACCATATTGCTGATCTGTGATAAGGTTTTCTCATAACCATGTAGAGATTTTCATTTATATGGGGTGTTCTACATCATTTTTCAGGACTCTTTCTCAGGATGATCAAGATGATACCCATTTGAAAATAGAGGATATCATTCAGATGGTAAGTTCATCTCGAAATTTAGGCATATATACTCCTGTAGAAATGTTGTGGGTTTGAGTCAATAAAATGTAGCACAGTTGCGACTTAATGTAATGTATTTCTGGACAGAAATATTTTCTTTTATATCAAGAATGTCTATTTCTGTTTAGAAAAAGTAAGAATTTGGAGCCCTTATCAAAAATGAACATGTAAAAACTTAAGGATTTGGATTTAAATATCATGATTAAAAAAAATGGAAAGATATGAATATATATAAAATTATAAGCACAGAATATACAGACTTGAATTAATCTACATTCATGGTCCTGATTTGGTGTGTACCTATTTCTCTACAAGTTTCCGGCCTGATGCGTACCTTTACGTTGTTAGGAACTGTTCTTAATTCTTTGTAGCAAAGAAGTTAATTACAACTCCCTGTTGAGAGTGTGCGTGAAGCTCTCCATGCCCTGTGCTGTGACACAAAAAGGGATCATTGTAAAGCGTTGTCCTTGCTTTTGCAGTCGGACTGTCCAAAACCAGAGTGCTTTGAGACACTGTCAGCCATGGAGCTTGCGGAGCAAATCACCCTCCTTGACCACGTGGTGTTCCGGAGCATCCCCTATGAGTAAGTGACAGCAGCCTCAGGCACCACCCAGTTAGTTCATGCTACTGGCAAAAGGGTTTGCACACATAAAAGGGTAATGTGGGTATAAATAGGATCACAATGCTGAAAATTAGCATGGGGTGAGAGGGAGGGCCATTAAAAGAAAAATAAATCTTCTTAATAAAATTTATCATTTCAGTCAGCGTTAAAAATGGTGTAGTGAAATTCTGGAATTATAGTAAAGCTATTATTAGCTTCCAACAAATTGAGGTATCTTTGAAATCTACTTAGGCTGTGGTTAGAGGCACTGCCCTGTGTTTACTAAGAGCATTTTTGTTTGCTTTTTTTCTCTCCTCTCAATGTGTAGAGAGTTTCTTGGGCAGGGCTGGATGAAAGTGGATAAAAATGAGAGAACACCCTATATTATGAAAACCAGTCAACATTTCAATGATGTAAGTCCTCTTAAATGTCTGTTGCTTTCTAAGAACTCTACGGACTTGTCTGTGACCTCTGGAACGAAAACACTGGATTTTGTTACAATGGGATGTAATATCTTATCTAGTAATGACTGAATGTGATTAACCATTTCGATCAAAGCAGATGAAGATTCTCATTTCCAGTAACTGGTACTCAGCATTTCATTGGGAATTTAAGACAGCAGAGTATTTTAAACTGTACTACAATACCTTCCTGCGTACAGAAGAAACTCTGTTTTCTCCAGAGAAATATAACACCAATTCTATTTGATGAATGCTCTTTGTATCCCCAAACATGTCTCTGCTTTTTACCATTTTCCTTGAATTTTACTGAAAGACTTCCTGATCTATTTTACTACTAATGACTTGAGGGTGCTCCCCTTTGCATCTCTTACACTTCTTTCATTTCATCATCCTCTTCACTTCCCTAAAGCAATGTTTTCAATGTACTTCCCTGGTTTTATTAGGAGCCGTAATTTCTGTTGTGCATTAGTTGGGGGGTTGGCCTTGTTCATTAATAGCTATACATTCAAAAGGATTTAATTTAAATTATTATTTCATAGAAATATATAAACATTACATATAAATAGAAATAAGTATTTGAAGTGAAAATTTAAAAAGAAATATATGTAGTTTATTTTTATATATAAATACTATAAATGTTTATGATTATGCATAAATACATATAATAATAGAAAAGTAATATAAATAATATAATACAGATAAATATTATTTTTATAAATAAATAAATATCTACATAAAATTTTTTAAAATTAAATTTCCTAACTTTCTTCCTGTTTCTTTGGTCAGATGAGTAACCTGGTGGCCTCCCAGATCATGAACTATGCTGATGTCAGCTCCCGGGCCAACTCCATTGAGAAGTGGGTGGCTGTTGCTGATATTTGCAGATGTTTGCACAATTATAATGGTGTGTTAGAGATCACCTCAGCCTTGAACAGAAGTGCAATCTACAGGCTTAAGAAAACCTGGGGTAAAGTATCCAAACAGGTAAGAATGACACAATTGTGAGGGGGGTTACTAGATTTCATCAGTCAATATGTTCAGACAATATTCCTCCTATAAATATTTCTGCTTCTCCACCAAGTGGTATTTCATGTCGAGGTCTTTTGTATGTATTTTTTTATAAGTGAGAACAAACAGTTTTCAGCAGAATTAGCAGATGCCAAAGACTGTTGGGCCTAAAGTAGTGAAATACTCAAGTGAATTTAAATATTTTCACATATGCATGTCTCGGTGGTTACAAGCCATAGCTAAAGTCAGGTCAGGTGCCTCAAATAGGAACTGCATTTCCCTGACTCTGCAGAAAGGCAGGAGGAAGGGCAGCACTTCTCAAATGGGTGAGGTTTTTGCTACCCAGAAGGAGACTGTTGACGACCACTGTTCTTTCTAATTTGAGGGCTCAAGTTTATATGCAGTGAATGCCTCTCTTTTAACCCTGACCTGGCTTCTGAGAATGTCAGCAGCATGGCTGAGGCTGTGGGAATGCCTGCCAGTCACAAAAATAAGATGCACACACGAAAGAAGACTAGTCAGGATGAAGAGTATCCAGTCTTTTATGTTCTCTGTTTTAAATGCTTCAGGGAAATCCACTTAAAATACATTCTGACTGATTTTCCCAGCTGGTTCATAGCTGATGCTTTTATTTAAAAATAAATTCTAGTTCTTTTATTTAAAAATATGTTAAAAATCCTTTCAGTGCAGACTGTTAAAAAAGAGGTCACCTCCAAAAAGTTTTAGGTTTAGAATTTGTTTGATTTTTAAACTTTTCAGTTAAAAACAAAACAAAAACAAACCCACAGGAGATTGATGTGGTTGCACAGTTCTCTGGTACTTATTGGGAATGTAATCTGAATTTTTCATCAGCCTGCTATTTAGAAGAAAATGACTGTTTCTGCCTACAGCTTTCTCTTAATTGGAATTTCAGTTTCAAAAATTATGAATTTCTCATCATTCTCTACACTGTCTCCAGTCTGTAGCATAAACAGGCTGAAAAGCAAATTTATTTCATTTACGAAGTAACCAGGCTCTGATGATGCCTACTGAATGTGACTTGTGTAAAACAGAAGTACATTTCTGTATTCATATGCAGCTTTTATTGGAAATTTGGAGGCAAGACCAGCTTATAAGAGAGAAAACACCCTCTACTGTCACCAACTTCAGTAAATGCACTTGAGGATCCTCGGCAATGTGTAGGATCAAGTCCTTTATATTCTTGTGTAACAGTAAAATTGAATTCCTGGCCATTAATTTAATGAACTCATGGTTTTTCCCCAATTTGCAGGCTAATAGTATTAGTATAAACACAGGTTCTGTGTATCACTCATAGGAAAATCTTTAATGCTGCCTGGTCTCCATTTCCAGAAATACGTGAGGAACTAACAAGCAATAAAGCTAAAATCTTAATGCCTGTTTTATTACTTTTGAAAGTGAAGTGAAGATGCTAAGTGAATTATACCTTTTCTGAAATCTAATCCCAGTTGTATGTGCACCAGCAATGACATGTGTAATGAATTTTCTTTCTAGACAAAGGCTCTCATGGACAAGCTTCAGAAGACTGTATCATCTGAAGGAAGATTTAAAAACCTTAGAGAAATGCTCAAAAAGTATGCCTTCCTACAATATACAAATGTTTTAAGCAGTAGATCGTACATATTAAAGAAGAATAGGCTTTGATTAAGCTTTAATAATTAATATAATACTGGATAATATTTTTGCCTAAAAATCTCTTAAGTTCTAGGTTGTTTTGCTGAATATCTTGTGATTTAGTTCCCCTAATGTATAAATATAACAGCTCCATAGAATTACTGAAACAAATTATACTGTTTTTCTTTAAACGTGTTCCCTGTTGGGGTTTTGCTTACACTGATAAACTTTTTCAGTAAGTGTAAAAGTCTTTTATGAGAAACAGGATTCCACAGACTTCTTGCTCTAAATAAGAAATTCAGGGCTTGGGACTAAGCCTGAGTCAGATCATGAATCCACTCATATTGTTTCAGACAGTAAGGACAGGACAAATGCACAGTGATATTTTCCTCACCTGTGGCCTCCAAGCCCATTCGAAAACAGCCTCCTTCTTTTGTACAGTAGTCCTTGAGTATTGACTTCTTTAATTCATTTGCCAGATTGTGTCTGACATTCTGTAATTTTGGTATCCAGAAGGATTCTACAATTTATGTATTGACCTGAATTTTTGCAAGTTTTGTAACTGGAAGCAGGTTTTTCAGGATTGAATGATACGATTACTTTAAATTATCTTGAGAGAAGCCAAGAATTGAAAGACTAGAATAATTACTGGAATGTTTAAAAAGTTCCATTAATATTAGATATTGGACAGAATACATTCAATTTGTCACAGGCAGAGCTAATACAACTCCATCAGGAGCTGTTTGCCTTGGAAAGAAATGCAGTCCATTGACTAGAAGTGCATTAGGTAATAAGTTTGTGTGAGTTAGAAAAAAGTGAGTTTGCAAGTGTAGCTACAGGCGAATATGCTGATTTATTGATTTTCAGTTGTAACCCACCTGCTGTTCCCTACCTTGGGATGTACCTGACGGACCTGGCCTTTATTGAAGAAGGAACACCCAACTTCACTGAGGAAGGACTTGTCAATTTTTCCAAAATGAGAATGGTAATTTTCACTTTCTTGTGTGCTTTCACAACAGGTGTTGTTTAATTATGTGAGCTAATTATCGATTTCATTATAACTCCTTTGAGTTTCACTTCAGAGAATTACAGGTATGTTGATGTTGTGCAAGATAGGCAGCGATCTGAGAGCAATTACTTGACCTAGTCTTCTATCACCACCTTCTGGTAAACTGGGTATTTTTACAGGGTGAATTTGCCCCCAGTTTGTTGTCTGAGAAATGGCAGGAAAAGCAGCTGTCTGGAGCTCGTGAAGGAGCAACAGAAAGCTTTTTTTAAATAACCAGAATTATAGGAGTGCAGTGATTCACCAGGAAGCAGTAATCAGAATGTTCTTTTCAAAGTTTTTTTTTTCAAAGAGATAGACTCTTTTTAGAGTCTATCTAAAAAGCATTTTAAAGTTGATTTCTCTCCCACTGCCATGTAATGCTTTTTGTAACAACTCTTCAGAGAGAAGCATGGAAATTTCTCTTCTAATCTCAGCTTAATGCCCTTCTTAGGGCCACACGCTGCAGCAGTCACTCGAGGCAGAAGATGTGTTTTCAGTGTGGGGAGAGGAGAGTCATGGTTGTTCACTTGAGGCTGACTGGAGAATAAATGGTTGATCTGAGAAACTGAAGTGCTTGGAAACTGTCAGGAGATGATCTCTGCCCTTGCCTTCCCTCCTCCTCAGATAAATTGAATAACTTCATGCAAAATTCTTGATTTATGTGGCTTAGCTGAAGTCAACTGCAGTTTGTACTTACACACATGTATTCTTTTGAAAGATCTCACATATTATCAGGGAAATACGGCAGTTCCAGCAGACCTCCTACCGCATAGATCATCAGCAGAAGGTAAGGCTCTCACCTGATACTGAAATTATAGCTGTGGCAGCAATTAGCTGTCAGATAGAGCTGTTGTTGAAAGCCAAAATCAGCTCCCACATATAGAGGAGAGGACACACGGACATATAGATTATATGGGGCTGGGACACCCTCACTCTGGCAGAAATTCTTTGTTTGATGCCTTGTAGAGAAGTTTTTTGCTCTTTCTCTGGAAGGTCTTGGGGATTGCAGCCTTCAAGGGTGTAAGGGGTTCAAAGGGAAATGTGTTCTTACTGCCCTGAGAGTCCAGTGGTGATGCCCCAAGCACCTGTTGAGATACCCTGCAGTTGTTTTTTCCTTTGTCCCTCCCTCATGGGAGTGATGCAAATTTGACCAAAGCTGGTCTGTGGCTTCAGAGAAGATTCATCTCATACTCCAGAAGAGGAGCCTGGGACTGAGGTAACCTGGCAAATGATTTGTCTGTTCCTAAGAGGCTGTAATTAATTCCCAGATCACTGTAGGTGGGTGCAGCATCCAAATGAGCTGTTTGGTTTCTCAAGAAAACAACATGAAGGCATCTCAGGATCTGAAATGGGCTGGAAGGGGAAGGAAAGCAGAGAAATCTTTGTGGCTGTTCTATGCAGTCTGTCCATCTTTGTTTTCTGCATTCCAGGTCACTCACTACTTACTTGACAAGACACTCATTATAGATGAAGATACGTTATATGAGCTCTCCCTGAAGATCGAGCCCAGACTCCCTGCCTGAAACTCAGCTTTGCCTCAGAGTCTACAGAAAGCTTTAGTACAATGAACAGCATCATGCATGCCATGTCCTAAAGACAGCAAGGGAAATTTTGGGAGGAATGCCAGCTCTGTTTTCCAGTAAGAGATACAGAGTCTCACAGCATTTCCCTCTCTGGCAACGAAAACAAACATTGGGGGTGGAAGACAAAGACACTTCCTACCCGGATTAAGTGATTGCTGCTTTGCAAAGATAATTTTTTGCAGCAGGGACTATGATTTAATGGAAAATAGGAGACTTTACTGTGAACAGGCTCTCATTGCAGCCATCTTAATGTGACAAATTAAGGGTACAGATTTAAATGATGGCAATATACTCAGATATATTAAGATGAGTAAGCAAAATGAGGTGGCTGGGCTGATGGCTAACTGTGTGTCCACTGAGGCAGCAATGGTGGTGATGTCCTCATATTCTGTTAATTTCATTGAGAAACCAGACTTTTAACAGTCATCTGCTATTTTGGAGTGACATTAAGAAAGCATCTAGTAACTTCAGACCTGCAGTTGTTCTAAAAGACTCACTGTACATTTAATGCTACTCTTTATAAAACACCTTCTTCTTTAAATGTCTCATCAGCCTTTTCTAAGATGACTGATTGTAGCTGTAAACAATTTGTAAATATTTTTTTCATCCCTGAGAGTATTTACAGCATGGAAAGCAAACGGACTAATGGAATAGCTGTACATAGTTGCCAGCCTTCTCAGCTGGGAAACACAAAGTGAGAAATCTGCACGCGCAGTGGATGGGATGGTGAGTCATGTTGCACACAGTCCTGGAAAAGGCACTTTATTTCCCTGCACCTCCTGCAACTTCTCTGACAAGCTGGGCTGCAGAGCACTTTCTGGACTCATTGTGGAGAGAAACACACGTCTGATCTGGCAGTGGGTGGTGACCAGCAGTGAACACTCAGAGCTGGAGCGACAGTTCCGTTTCACTTGGCATCAGCAGTTTGAAAAATGTCTTGTTTTGTTTTGTTTTGTTCAGCCATTTGACACTAACTTAGTTCTAAAATCATATATACCAGTGGCAAACGTTGAATGCCAGCAAACACAAAATATGTATTTTTATCTGAGATAGTAATTATCACTTGCATAAGGGCATATGTATGAGAAAATGTGCTGTTTGTAAATGTTTTCAGAGCATGTGCTTTTGTGATGTACCAGGTAGATAGATGTCATTTCTACAGCTAGTGGGTACTTTCTATATTTTCCTCATCAAGAGTGGCCTGTCGTAGCTGCATGGACAGTGAGCTCAAATGCATGTTGTAAAGGGCATCATAGTATAAAACACAGGTGTTAGCACTGTTGAAAAAAAAAAAAAATTGGCTGGAAAAGTGTCCTTACTTTTCCAATGATATTCAGCCAGTTGAAGAAATAGGGCTATATCACCGTATACCTCCCTTAAATTCTCTCAGGGAGACAGATGCTTAAAACAGATTGTGACCTAGGCCTATTTGATCTGACATATCTTACCACAGTCATGATGCTTCTCAATGCTGAAGGTGAAAAATGGACCTACCTGGCTTGTGGTTTTTGTCTTTATTTGCACTTTAATTATATTGCTGGCCCAGCCCAGAGCTGCACAATGAATTCCATTTGTTCTGTCTGAGTGTAACTGCCAGCATTTACAAATGTACCTTAGCAACTGTAAATTTCATTAAGGTTCTTATCCACAAGGACCATCTCTTTGTAAATAAGTGCATGGGGAAGTGTCACAGATAATGGAGAATTCCTCCATTAGAAGAGCAGACAGCAAGAGAGAAGGAAATGCCAGAAACACATTAGATTGTTCTGGCTAATGATTGCTGTGAAAACAAACACGGAAAATATTACTTATAGAAACCTTTTGAAATGTTTGTTTCTTTTCACTAATGACTGACAAGAAGCTGATTGCATCCCAGTGCATGATATGAGGAAAAGCATGGTTTATTTGGATCACAGAACCAACTGACTGTGTATTTTCTGTACAAAGGCAGTTAACATTTAGTAGGTTCATAAAACACTTTGAAGTAATGGAGCAACAGGGAAAATGTGGTCCAGAAAGTGATTTCGTAACTTTGTTTTATTGATTCTTTGTTCAAGAGAAAATGTTTAACGACTGTCTGTATCAATGGGCATCTCTGTTGTACACTATTAACTGCTGCTTTATATGCCTGTACCCCATTTTACCAAATTTCCCTGATGTTCTTAGGGTCACAGGGTACAATTCTTCATCTTGCTCTGTTCACAGTTGGTTGTTTTGTACTTTCTGTGTGTATATTGGTTCAGAACATTCAATGATGTATTTTAGTGTTTATGACATGCAGGGTTGGTGCTGTGCTCACGTGGCAGATAGACAGAGAGGAAGACAAAGGGTTAGACGTGGGCTTTTCCAAAGGTGCTGAACCTTATCTTAAAATCAGCCCTATCTTAAAATCAGAAGACAGTGTGATAGTTCAGCCCCTTTGGAAAAGCACAGACTACTCATATGCCAAAGTTTGCCTCTTGGGTCAGTGGCACAGTTGAGGTTAGAATCATTAGAGTAGCTTAGATACTTGATTTGTGTGTTCAGAGCAACACCACCACCACCACAAAAAAAAAAAAAAAAAAAAAAAAAAAAAAAAAAAAAAAAAAAAAAAAAAAAAAAAAAAAAAAAAAAAAAAAAAAAAAAAAAAAAAAAAAAAAAAAAAAAAAAAAAAAAAAAAAAAAAAAAGGCAAAAAAAAGAAGAAGAATTAAAATAATATATTATGGTCACAGTAATGTTTGATTTGCTGATGGCTAATGTTGCTATTTTTGCTTGGGGATACAATATGTTTGTTAAAGCACAGGAGATGAGTGCTTGAAAAAGTGAGGATGCACCTTTTTATCCACAACCCTTGCCAGCATTGTAGCCCTATAACCACATTTGGGATCAGCTGTTCTGGAGGAACAGCAAGTGCAGAGCCGTGTGCTGGGCTGTGCTTCACCACTCAGTGGCCCCAGTGACTCTGCCACAGTCCTGCTGCTGTGTGTGGGCTGTGGCCATGGCCCATAGGCAACAGCAACCTGCTTTGTGTGATGCTTTGCTTGGTCCCAGTGTAACCAGCCAGCCCAGTGCTCTCCCTGTAGGGCACACGGGGATTGTGGAGCTCCTGCCACCAGCTCCTCTGTGCCGCTCCATCACAGCCACATAACACATAGGGATAGAAATCTCACTCATCAAGCATGCACCGTTTGCTTCTGGCATTTTAGGGTGCATGTTCTTGAGTGAGGACTTTGTCATTGGGGTCTTGCTGTCTTTTAGGGTCTTGTCAATCACAGCTTTTACACCGTGGAAGCAAAACAGACTCACTCTCCTGCAATTGGAGCTGGAAAAGCCCAGCTGATTCAGGATCCACAAGAAGGAGAAGGGCTGAAGCACCTCTCTACTTGCCTTCCTGAGCTCCTCAGCCCCTCTGTGCCAGTGGGATGGAGGGGCTGCTCCCTGTGGAACACTCCAGATACATGCTGGAGGGGCTGGCTGGCAACAATGGGGATATAGCAAATTTCACCCACTGGGTTGCAGTGGGTACACCTGCCAGCGATGCCCGAGGGGAGCTCTGCAGTGTTTTTTATTGCATAAGTAGCAGCCCAGATTGCGCCCACAGTGACCTGGGGACCTGGGCAGCAGCACAGACACATCCCCTTCATGTGACATTGAGCACATGTCACACGCTGATACAGGGTTAGAGTTGCCTTCACCCCAGCCGTTGCTCCCCCATCCCTCTCCCCCTCCAAATTCATCAGTGTTGTTATGGACTGAGCCCACAACTTGGTTGTCCTGTGGAAAAAAAACAGACCTGTGGCAGTAAGTGTTTGTTCTGCCCCTTTCTTTTGGCAAGTCCTGTAACACACAGACACGTGTTCATGGTGAGAGGTGATAACTGGGACTGATCACCCTTATTTAAGAGTAAGGAGGAGGTTCCTGTCCACTTTCTGCTTTCCTGGTTTTAATACTGGTTATTATTCTCTAGGATAAAAAGGAACTTAACTATTTTAATTATTTATTAACTTAAACCATGTTGATTTTGATTTCAGGACATGTTCATTATCCCAAATTTTCCTTCCTGCTTATATTTATTTTAAGGGTTTTACAAAAAAACTATTGTTTTATTTGTATTTATATTCAGTCTTTCCTCCTTTTAGTCTTAACAGCAACATTAAGCTTAGATGATTAAAAATTCTCACCTATAGAGACATTTTTACCCACTCATAGTTGTTATTCATTAAGGGCAAAACCCTTCAGACCTCATTCTGATAATACCTTAGGCTTCATGGAGAGCTTTTCATAAGTATTTGGGGATTTGGCTCTCAGCTATTTGCCTGTTACAGTTTTTGCCTCCAAAGGTCAAATGTCTCTGTCCTGGATGCTTCGTGTCCAATACGCTGCTCAACAATGGCTGTTCTGTTGTACCTTTACTCTTGAATAGTCTCTGATGTTTTGTTACTTAGGAGAGTAGATCTGTGTTTATTTGACAGATGTACCTATAACTAATATAACTTAGTGCACACTCCAGATGTTTTTGCATGTATTGTAACATATATTTTGACCTGAGGTTATTGCTTTGTATTGTTAGTAAGGCATATCAGGCAAGGTGTTGTGCCTCTATGCTAATTAAACTTCCTTTTATTTCCCGAGTTTCAAGGGTCTTTACTGGAATTTGTTACTTTTTTTAACCCCTGATCATGAATAATTTAATCTCCTCCTTCTGATTTAGCAAGTCTTTTAGAAAAGCAAACCATTAAGAGCAAAAAATCAGGGAAAACTCTGGGTTTGTACTGGGAAAGAATGGTTTGAATTACTGTATTTTATTATTTTTTTCCACTCATGATGCATTGCAGCTGCTGTGGGCATTACTGGTAATAACTGACACTGGGTTTGCACTTCTGTCTAATTATCCCTTGCCTTCTCTTGGCTGGTGTCCTGCCCTGGATTTAAAGAAGTAATAAAGCCATATTTTGTATTCAAGAAATGACAGAAAACAGAGTAGGTTTGTGAGTGTGTCCTGTCTCTCCTCTTGTGATAAGGAAACAAGTCACATGGAGATAAATGACTGGCAAATTGAAGAAAAATAGTTAACAGAGTTTGAGACTGAAAAAAACAGATCTCCAGCTTGTGTTATATACTTTAATCACTGTTCTGTGTTGAAATCACTAATTTCATTAAGACAGAAAGATTCCTGTTTCATTTTTTTCTAGAATTAACATATTTTTAGCAGGCAAACAGCTATGGCCCATCAGATCTGTGTAAGAAGGAGATAAAACAAGATACTAAGATCAGTATCGATTCAGTATTCTGTGACCTTGCAGTCACATTTTCTCAATTTTGCTTGTATTTGTTGGTGTTTCACACAAAACCTGAAATTAACTGAAAGCACCTTACCCTTGAAGTTGTCAGATATTGTCAGTGCAATAAAAAAATTAAAAGACTTCCCAAGAAACTGTTAAAAAGTACTGCAGTATTTTTAATTTCAAACTGTTTTCCCAAATATGTTTTCTGAACCATTTTATTTTGCTTATGCCAAAGAGTTGGCTGATTTTACATCTTTACTCTAAGGTCATCATTGTTCTGGTTCCCTGTCTGCTGCAGACAGACCTGTACATGTAGGTTGGTAAATGCAGTAGTGGCAGAAGTAGTTTCAAATTTGTTTTCCTAGAGTTAGAAACTCCACTGTGTAACTCCCTTCAAGTCAGGCACCACCCTGCTTCCCTAATGCTCATGGTCTGCAAATGGCCAGATGGGTCAGAAACATTGACCTAGTTATTACTGTTTAATTACTATTGTGCTCTCCCCCACTACATTTCCTGGAAGCTCTGCATTTACACAAATTGGTGACAATATGCATAAATCATGTCTACATTCTTGATATATGTATTTCATGTGGACCAAAAGGAGTAACTTGTCCGGCCAGAAAAGACACAAAGTCTTATCAAGACTTTATATACTGCATGAAATCCAAATATTTTTATTCCCTTTTATTTGCTGTAAAAATTTCATCTCCAATGGGAAAACCGTCTGGAAAAGAGCACCTTTTTCCTCCTCTAACCATTCCTGCTAGAATTTCCTGGACAAAGAAACACTGGATCAGCAGGATGGAAATGTATCTATAGTTTAAGACACCTGACAAAAGTGTTTGTCAGATGTGGTTCTCCAGTCATTACTGTTTTGAACTCCCTGACAATCACCATCTCAGAACTGATTCATTTGTCTTGGCAACACATCTGGTAAGAAAAAAAAAAAAAAAAAAGTGACTGCTTTTTCAATTTTGGACATTCCTGCTTGTCCAAAGGGTCAGCTCCATTTCTAGGAAAACCTTTTCTCCTCCATTTGGCCAGAAAACACACTGCTAATTATGGAGAATGTTTCCTACACTGTGTGGTGGATGTCCTTTGAAGAGTGAGTTCAGTAATTTAAAATAACTGGGGTTATTTTTAAAACTTGGATCTTGTTGAGCTCTTTATTTAGTAGACATGTAATAGCACCTTAACGTGCCTTTCTGTGGAGTAATACTAAGTGTAGGACAATTGTTCTGTGCCTCCTTGTCCACTTGATCATGATCAATAGGTTCCCATGCTTAGCACAAAGTACCTGATTTAACTCCAACTTCTGTGGGATGGAGGGCTTGGGTGCCACCTCAAAATGGAATGTTTTTCCAGTTTTGAGATCTCAGTGACTGCATGTGCTCTGTGTAAGAGGATAGTGATATTGAATATCCCCAGCCATGAGGACACCCCTGTAAGAGGTCTGGTAAGCAAATTTATTGCCAAGACAGTGTGCTTCACTGCATTGTTCTGAATGTAAGAATTAAAGACCCATCCAACCTGAAAACCTGGGATTGCCGTTGCTTTGGGGGAGCAATCCAACTACTGCTTTATAAGGACGCCAGTGGCTCTTTGCAGCTGAACTGTAACAGAGCTCTG